TTCCCTCTCCCCATCCAATCCCTCCGCCTGCATCTTTCTTTCGCCTTTGTCTGGGCCACCAGCCGACAACCGCAGCCGGCGACTTCTCACTTCCCTTCGCCTGCTCAGCCCCTCATCCGATCCTTCTCCCATTCCAATCCCTCTGCCTGCATCTTTTCGCCTCTGACTGAGCGACCAGCCGACGACCGCAGCAGCCGACTTCTCACTTCGGCCCTCACCCGATCTTTTTTCAGAACTTGGAAGACCTCGCTAACAACCCAGGTAGCTCTAAGTTTCGATTGTTCATATCATACCCCTAAATCGATTTTGTCTGTTTGGATGCCAAATACAACCCTCTCTCTCTCTCTCTCTCAAATTGAATAATCCGATTTCCGAATCATCTCCTCTCTCTCTCCCCCCTTCACTCTATTTCTCCTTCTCTTCTCTATCAACGATTTTAGGGGGTTTCTCGTCTCTGTAATCGAGTTCCCTCTTTCCCCCCTTCGCAGTCGCATAGAAAAAACAATTGTATGTATTGTTGTCGACGATTGATCGTCTTTCTTCCAGCTCTCTCTCTCTCACAAGGTACTCTTCCGATTCCCTGTCTTTCTCATCTCCTGGGCACCAGGGTTGCTCTCAACAATCGATCATATGAAATGGGTCCTCTTTCCTTTCAATGGTGGGTGATGGTCTCTCGGTTTGTTCTTGGATTGATCGGTCATCTTTGACTTTTTCGATTGTCGGGAATCAGTTTGGAAGAATGAAAATTTGAAAGTTCGCTTCTTTTCTTGATTCTGGTATCTTTGATGTACCCGTTCTTGTGAAATTTGAGCTTCTACTTCTTCTGGACGTTGCTTTGTACTGAAGGGATTCTGGGTTTTGAAGGAAACCCTGTTTCCAGGTGAAAAAAATTGTCACTTTCATAGTGGGAAGAAAAGAGTATGGGCAGGCCATGCTCAAATTTTCCATTACTTTAGTAATAAGTAATAACTGTGGTCATCAATTCATCGAGTGGTATATGTCAACACTAAAGTTACTTCTGATAAAGTTGTATTGATCGTTCCCTTGACCTGATCGAGTGAAGGGAACTGATAATTGTAACATGCAGTCAAATGCAGATTACTTCTGAGGAAGCATGCATTTATCAAATTCATTTGGAAATGGAATGTTTGTTGAATAGCTCGTCTGAACATGATTCTTCTTACTTTCAGGTGAAGGAGTATCGACTTGGGCAAGTTGTTAACAAGTTAAGATTGTTTATTTTTGTAGCTAAGAGAGGGAGGGTACTAGTTCGCAGAAGCAGCTGAGAGCTTCAGCGAGCTTGGATTCCTCTCTCATGGTGATTCTATTAAGCATTTAGACTGGACTAATTTGGAGGGGACAGATCTAAAGACACACTTGGCACAAGGAAAGCTGCAGGAGAATACACAATGGGTGCTGTTTGTTGTTGTTTGCATTTTGAGGACTACGAGGATTATGTGAATCCTAACAGTTCTGTGTATAGAAACTGCATGTGTCTCAGCTGCTTTCTGCAGTATTTTCTACATGTGGTATATTTCTTTTTTCTACCAACTCATTTCTTGCTAAATGGATTCTGGTCCCATTAAGAGTAGCTTACTAGCTATATAGAATCTATGATCTTAGCTTTGTTGCCTGCTCATGCGTATATGGTTCATCAAATGCTTCAATGGGCAAACTTGATACTCTTTTCATAAAGGCATTGCTTCGATTTGATTTTTCCTTGTTCCTCGATGATAGAATTTCGTTTGGGCAACGAGATTAGAGGAGCATCCTTTTATTACTTTATCTTCTTTGGCTTTTGTGAATTTAGTTATGTACTTTGAATTCTATTGTTATAGCATCAAAGTAGAAAAGGTGTTTCTATAGGTGAGTTGGCACTTGGAGTCTTTTTCGATTTTTAGCTACAAATGGTTATCATTGCATTTCTTTCTTGTTTGATATGCTGTTTTCTGCGAGTGTTACTCTATGATCCTTTTTTTTTGGATGTTCCTGCTTCTACAGTACTTCGGCTGTTAGTTTCTTGCGGCATTGAAACATTCTTTCCCTTTTACATGAGGAATGTTCTTAAGACATTGTTTGGCTTTTGCTGCAATATATGCCCATAATACTTGGAACGTATTTATTATGTGAAAGTAGTAGACTGTGGTCACACCTCTATACTCCAATCAAAACATTGCGTGCTTAGGTGTGCTGCAGACAAAGTTGACTTGCCTGCCGTGAAGTTCCAAGACTTTTCTTCTCTGATCTCTCTCCCCCCTTATTTTTGTAGTATGGCCAACTTTTTCGGAGAGGGGAAGTGCATTCTGTTTCATCATCTATTCAGGGGGCAGCATCTCTAAATTCTCCTACATCCCTAGACAGCTCTCTAGCTGACATGTACCGATCTCCTCCAAGGCCCTTGCCATATGATGCTGATCCAAGATATTTCAGGTTGCAGCGTGATGGTCTGGTTTCAAGGCGTGAGAAGGGTTCAAGTCACTCACATGAGGAAGCAGAACCATTGAGAAGCGATAATGATGACGATACAGAATTCTACAGTACAGGAGACAAGTGGAATGCGTCTACGTGTGAGGAAGGTTCTAAAGAACAGCGTCCCAGGTCCTCGCTTAAACTCTCATCTGCAAAAGCTACCTCTGGAATCGGATATATTTATTCATCTTCTGAAGACGAGGAAGTCTGCCCTACATGTCTTGAAGGTACAGTTGTTAATCTGTCTTCTTAACTACAGATCGGCTACTCCATGCTCTGTTCATGTTCATCTTTTCATGAACATTTTTAGCATAGGTTAAACGTTTCTGTTTCATGGTGTCTAGATGCCATCTTATGTTCAGAAGTAGTCACATTTGGTTCGTTGTGCACATAAGAGACAATCTATTCTTGTGAATTCCTTGGTCAACACAGTAGGTTCGTTCTCGTACTAGACAAGTAGCTGATGAGAATCTAGATGAGATTGTGCCCTCTAAGGACCTTAGAGATGTAATTGGTGGCCCTCTCACTTGGACAAGGCTTAGACTAATTTTCTGTTGTTGTTAAGAACACCCTCAAAGAGCTTCGAAGTTTCAAAAGATGCGGAATTTTATAATTGGGGGCCCTACAACAATTCTTTTCAACAATGATTTGGAGTAATTTTGTGTTGTTGTTAAGAATCCCCTCAAAGAGCTTCGACGTTGCAGGAAAATGCAGAATTTTACTATTTGGGTTTCTTACAGCAATCCTTTTCAACAATGATTTGGAGAAGAGGATTAATTCTGTTTATTTTTGTTTGAATGATTGCTTTAGTAGTTAAAGTCTAAGAGAAGGTTTTCTGTATACTTTCTTTAAGTAGGAGTCAAAATTATTGGCTGCTTAGTGGTAGTAGGCTTATTATTCTGTCGGCGTTGAATAAGAATGTCATTCCTTATAATTCTAAGGCTTATCAACTATGAATTGAGTCCCCAAATACTGATTTTAATGTTGAATTACGTGATGTGGGCATTAGTAGCCAGTTGTCGGGTCTCAAGCTGCATTCTATTCCATGCTCTAAAAGATGAAGGCTAAGGTAACTGATCTCTAACTTTCCAATTATCACATTTCCATTGTGCAGAGTATGCTCCGGAGAATCCTAAGATTATGACCAAGTGCTCTCACCATTTCCACCTTGGTTGCATTTATGAATGGATGGAGAGAAGTGATAGTTGTCCTGTTTGTGGAAAGGTAACTATATGTCTTTTTAACTGTGTTTTTCTTTGGCATGCTGTGCGGTTGAATATCATTGGTTTGGAGTTCATAGATGCCGTGTTTATGTAAAGGTAACACTTGTTCTTTTGACTACTATATCCTAGTTTTAGCTGAAAGCGCAACGTTTTGTTTGTTTGTAGGTGATGGCATTCGATGAAACGACATGATCTTTCGGGTTGATAGGTATGTTGTCGTGGATGAAAACCAGCACATGATAGGAAATGAAGGCTTACAAGACCTGTAGAGAGTTGTTTGTGAATATTGCAGATCATGAAAGTGTTTGTGATCTCCCATTGTATATATAACAAGGAAAGGAAAACAAACGTTGTTTCAGCAACATAACATTTGTTATGAATATGCAAGCACTCTATCCCAAAGTGCCATATTTTATAATATCCTTTGTTCTGTGAACTCTTCCATCTGATTGTGTGATTCAGATTTTACTTTTTGGTATTCTTTAGTTATGCGGGTATATTGATGAGGAGGTGAAGCATGAATGCGATCATTTGCTTTGCTCCCTCCTTGCCAGTTAGTTGTCCTTTTAACTTGCAGTTGAAACTTCATTCATAAAATGGTTGAGAATGCAAGGACACGGCCCAAACGAGGCCAGCATATTAACATACTATTGCAAATGGAAACATATGGGTCGAACTCAAGCAGTTTGGTGGCTTGAAAAGTGATAAAAGTAGCTTCAATCCGCAAAATTCCAGTTAAGACCCCCACTCTGGCAGTTGACCCATCACCCATCACTACTTTTTTTCCCAAACACATCAATGGTGGGAGTGGGTGGTTGGGTGGGGTAGTGATGGCATGGGTGATGGGAGCTTATCATTTGTGTATGTCCTTTCTCTCCAACTTGCATTACACACAGCTCTAATGTACCTCTTCAATGGAGGCCAAACCGCCAAAGTACTCTCTGCTCGGATTGGCAGCTGGAGAGCTCTAAACTTTGCAGCATAAGCGATAATCACACAAGAGAACAAAGTGACAAAGGATGGCCATCATCATATCACCAGAGCACGAATGCAGCCCCAACGTTTCATTTATTAACTGTCAATTCTGGTTTCTGAAATAGGAAAAGAAGTACCAAGGAAACAGCTAGCAATCTGGTTGCAGGATTATTGTTTGGCAATAACTTCAAAAGCACGCAGGAAACCTTCTGGTGGCTGTGCTCCACTCAACTTGTGCTTCCCGTTAATCTGTAGGATTTATTGTAAAAAATTATAACCCTTCTCTCAAAATCAAAGCTTTAAGATTGTAGAAGTGAAAGCAGACAAATTTGATTAACATGCCACATAGTAGGGCACTCCTCTAACCACCGTCTTCCCCAGATCCTCATTTACCTCGAACATCAAGTCAGCCATAAAGAAGTTAAGCCAGCTAGAGTAACTAAACACAAAATCAAGAAGTGAAGAGCTACTCAGAAGTGAAGTCAACATACAGAAACCTGTTTCAGTCCAGCATTGGGGTCATTGAGAAACTCAGCTGCGCCTTCTAATCCAATCTTCTCAGCACATTGGAGCAGGAATTCCCTGTCTCCAATGTACTTGGCCTGTGTGAAGTTGCCAAGGAAGAGTTCCTCAGCAAGCTTGTGCTGTTTGTCAAGCCCTTGCTCACCTGCTATATACATCAGCCTGTGGCTGTCCATACTACTTCCCCTGTTGATAAAACAAACAACAACGTCTGTTAACTCTTCAACGGTTTCTTGCACCAAATGTTAAAGCAATCGAACATTGTAGCCATAAAGACTACGTTAGCCCGGAAACATCGTAGTTCATGCCAAGTCCCCTGAAGTTCTGCAAGCAAGTATGGAAATGTGGTTAGCACCAACCCATACATAGCCTGAAATCCAAGGAAATGCAAAGCAAAGTGAAATAATAAATGGAGAACCTCAGACATGCGAGCCATCATTCCATCGATTCCGCCTCCAAACCTTCCTCTGTAGAACTGTAACAAGTTCACTCCTTGCTTTGGGGCATCAGGATACAGCTGAAATGGATGCCATCTAATCTGGGGAGAAAATAACCGAATTTGAGAAGAGCCGGACCTAAAATTACGACTTTGAAGAATATTTTATGTAAAGGGAGAAAGATACCGAGGTAGATGGACCAGTACCTCAAAATCAAATCTGTTACTAGAGGCAGCTATGGCTTTGTCCAAGTTTTTCTTGCCAACAAAGCACCATGGACATACAGTGTCTGAACTTATATCAATTCTTATCAGCTTCTTCCCGGAGTTGGTAGCCATGGCGATCTGTTTTTTCCCCCCCTAAACCGTTCAATCGAAAAGATCAAATATGAAATGGCTTAAGCTCCATTTCTTCAGAGGCTTTTGAAGAATCCAGCAAAGGGTTACAGATAAAGAAGAATACCTGGAAAAAGAGTTGAGACCTCTCTGGAGGCAAGGCAGCAGGAATATCATAAAGAGCAGAATGAGAAGGAGAACATGCGTTTTCCTCTATGTAAGGACGTGTTTGGTGCCAAGCTTGACTTTTTCAGCCCCCATAACTGGAAGACTTTTTATTCTTGAGTGTCAAAGACTGCTTAAGTGCTTATCTGATTGCATTTATACATCAGGATATGTCACACCTTTTCATGTCCCTGACTATTACAGAAGCAGGGTATGAACACAAACACCAGTATTCCTTTCCATTTATTCATCAAACAAACAAAAGAAGGAAATTCCCTGTTGGAGAGGGATCACTGTGTTCATACATTAAGGCTTAAGCACATGAACTCGGACAGGCTCACGATCTCTCATTATTACCCACAATTATATGTAGGTGTAGGTCCTTTATTCATAGCTAGCACATGAATAGAATTCTATGCGTGGCTGAATTCGAGCGTTATATATAGCTCCTTTATTGATAACACACATACATACATAGACTCTTGTCAGGGGATGTAATTTCAGCTCATCAATTTGCAGCAGCCTCAAAAGCTCTCAGGAATGCCTCTGGTGGCTGACCACCACTCAGCTTGACTTTCCCATTCAGCTGTTCCATAAGTTCAATTAGTTGCGACTTGTGAGGTGGTGGTTCTTATATAATCGAATTGCCGAACTGAAGACTCATAATGTGATGGAATAGATTGTATGTACCACGTAGTATGGGACTCCGTTAATGTTCGAGGAGTAGTTGTTGAGCTCTTCCATTACCTTCATCAAATTAAAACGTTTGTTAGAATGTTAAAATGTGCCTTACACCATAGAGAAATGAGTGGATTTCTACAAACAAAAGACGAACTGAAAACATAGGGCATTGCTGCCTGCACTGAATTTGGCAACTGAAGAAGGAAATGGGAGGTGAAACGACCTCTTGGAGCCCATTATTGGGATCATCGAGAAATTCTGCTGCACCTTCTAGGCCAACCTTCTGAGCACATTCCAAAAGAAATTCTCTGCCAACATTGATTGCGTTGCCAGATAAGCAATAGAGGACGAAAAAAAGGAACTACATACACTCTTGTGTTCCCTTTATTGTTTGATTCTGATCAATTGCAAACCCCAATTTATACAACTATGTACAAACTGAAGTTTCAATCTAGGTGATCTTGCTTTACTTGGCTAAAGACAAGCAACATCGAAAATATTATTTGCGCAGGTGCAAAGTAAGTCAATTGAAGCATTGACACAAAAGAACAAACAGGATTCACGGTAAATATATAAATGAAAATGCACCTAAAGATCGCCATGAATCTCATGTTAGAACTATGAATGAAGTCTATACAGTCGGTGACGAAATAAGGCTTGCTAGACCACATAGAAAGTTGAACTATACCTATCTCCAATGTACTTAGCCTGAGTGAAGTAGCCAAGGAACAGCTCCTCAACAAGGTTATGTTGCTTATCAGAACCCTGCTTTCCAGCATAATATATAAGCCTGTGGCTGTCTAGAGTGTTTCCCCTGCCAAAAAACTCCACCAGAGATTCTTACTCAAAACACTCCTTCACAAAAAAAATGATAATTTTCCTCCATAGAAAGGGTTTCGAACTTACGTGAGGCCGGACAGGTTATAGTTCAGACCAAGGCCTCTAAAGACCTGCAAAATCATATCCACACCTTAAAAGAGTTTATCTATGCAACCACAGCTTGAGGAAGAAGCATAAAAGCGAGTATATATAACCTCAGTCATCCTTGCTACAACTCCATCAAGTTGAGGTCCAAACTTGTCCTTGTAAAATTGCAGTTTGTTCATCCCTTCTTTAGGTGCAGCGGGATTGAGGAAGAAAGGGTGCCATCTGATCTGCAAAAAAATCCCAAGTTGGAAATCGAATAAAATCAAGGGCTTCTAAACTCAAACCATGGGACATAGATTAGACAAAGAAGAAGACCACAACCTCAAAATCAAATCTGTCAGTAGAGGCAGCTATAGCTTTGTCCAGGTTTCTCTTCCCCACAAGACACCATGGGCATATAGTGTCAGAACTCACATCCACGCGGATAAGCTTCTTCCCAGCAGCAGCTGTCTCGGCCATGGACCTCACGCGTTTTATCTGGTTTACCCTCAATTTCCAAGCCATGTTAGTATCAGAAGTTCAGCTACTAAAATCCTATCCTTCCCTTTCCCAGGATCAACTGCAAATCAAATTACGAGAGACCCAGGAGAGGGAAACACACACAGACTTGTTGGTGTTCGTTAATCTCAAACTCTAGAGACCAGAGATCTTAAAATAAGCAGAAAAGATAGAAGGCGGGAGACGGACCTGGAAGCAAAATAAAGCACTGTCGGAGCTGGAAGAAATCTCTGATGAAACCGCAAAGAAAGTTGATGACAGAAGAGAAAAAATAATCACAATCTGCTTTGTGACCAAGACCAACTACCCTATTAGTTCCAAATTCACCCACGTTTCCATCGTTAGAAAATTCTGTTGGGCCATCCGTTGGGCCTGTTTCACAATCTTTCCCATGTTCGCCTTCCCTGCCATCAATTCCCGAGCAAGACGAAACGTCTCGCTTTTGATGTCCCTGTGTTTGCAAGTTTCTACTCTCACTGTGATCTCGTGACCCGTCGGAAAAAATTATCGTAAAACGACCCAACCGTGAAATCTCCACCTAGATTCCGATCCAACACTTGTCCGGACGTCCCAACATTTCATCCCAAATAACATCGCCCTACGGTATAATCCTTTTCTTCCATAATCTCTCGTCCTTCATTGCTCTCTCCTTTGTCGAAAAAGTGTCTCCTTTTAAGCAACCCATTACAATCTGGGCATTCAAATGCTCAAAGTTCAAGACTTTTTCTGAAACCCAGCTCATAATCTTTCTCAAAAGTTCAAAAATTTCATTTCTGGTGGTGATATTCTCTATCGGATTTCTCTTTGTTTAGCGTGAATCAATTGAAAGTGAGAACAATCAAATTGAGGGCCGATGGATATAAGCGAGATACTTGGGGAGAGCTCGAAGCCAGGAAGCTTAGTACCGACCAAGAGCGCGATTTATGTTTGGGGTTACAACCAGAGTGGGCAGACGGGAAGGAATGGTAAAGAGCGCCAATTACGTATCCCTAAGCAGTTGCCACCTGAGCTATTCGGTTGCCCTGCTGGTAACAACGCCCGGTGGTTGGATATAGCTTGTGGCCGGGAGCACACCGCCGCCGTGGCTTCCGATGGATCGCTCTTCACATGGGGTTTGCTCTCTTGCTCATATCTTCGTTTCAATTTCTCCTCAGAATTCTCAATTTCCCCTTGGAATCTTAACGGTAATAATGCTCAAAATGGCGAAACTTTTTTTGTGTGCCCAATTTGTGATTCTTTGTTGCCCTGGGTTTAAGAGAGGTGAAGATTGTCTTCTGAAGAATCTGAACTGCCTATTCTTTGTTCTTCTTGTGTTTACAATTACAATTTCTGTAATTCGAATCATGGTTTTGGTTAGAGGCATGATAGTTATGATTTTTGGGTTGTCTAGGGGCTAATGAATTTGGTCAATTGGGGGATGGCTCTGAAGAGGGGAGCAAGTACCCTAAGAGAGTAAAGCAATTAGAGTCTGAGCTTGTGAAATCTGTAGCTTGTGGAGCACATTGCACTGCTGCTATTGCAGAACCACGTGAGAATGATGGAACCATCTCCAAAAGTAGGCTATGGGTTTGGGGACAGAACCAGGTGCTTAGATTTATATCTGTGTCATTCTGTTTTGGAAAAGTTTCATTTTGTCACGACTCTAGAACTTAGCTTTCTTGTGATTTCTTCTTCTCCTCATTCCAGGGGTCGAATTCTCCGCGTCTGTTTTGGGGTGCCTTCAAACCTAACACGGTATGCGTTGAGTTGAATCTATGTCCCTGAGGTTAGGATGGTGTGTTGGCAATAAATATCTGAGATTCTTCTTAGTTTCTGGCTGTTCATGCAAATCTAGTTGAGGCTTGACATGTATGATAAATAATTGCTTGGCTTGAGCAGTGTTCAACTGGAGTGAGGCACTTTGAATTAATATGTTAATCCTTATTCTCTCTCTGGTTGCTTCAGATGATCCATCAGGTATCCTGTGGTGCAGCTCATGTGGTGGCCTTATCAGAAGACGGAATGCTACAATCCTGGGGTATTAATACACAGTTCTCCATCTTTTGACTGAATTTGCTTCCTCTCCATATGTAGCCATTTGATCCTACGCTGGAAGTGAAAATACCTACTCTAGTCCTGCAAGCGACCAAACATCTCAAACTAGTGACTGATCTCTAGTTATTTTCCTTGACTAATCAGGATACAACGAATATGGCCAGCTTGGTCGTGGGGTTACTTGTGAAGGCCTGCAGGCTGCTCGTGTCATCACTGCTTATGCAAAGTTTCTTGATGATGCTCCAGAGCTCGTGAAGATAACCCAAGTTTCATGTGGGGAGTACCACTCAGCAGCCTTATGTGAAATGGGCGAGGTGTAAGTGTCTGTAAGATTCTGTTGACGAAGATAAAGTTGTACTATTAACATGAAAATTGTGGCTATTCTCATGACTCATGGAACTTTCCCTGAAGCTTGGGAAAAATCTCCTTGTGGGGCTCTCCCGGAGTTCGGGTGCAATGGAAATTCTGATATGCAAGTCCCTCTCCCCTTTGCTTCTGTCTAGCAGTACATTTCTCATTGCCAGAAATGTGGCAGGCCAGTTTAGTTTCTTCATACCATAAAGAATTGCACAGATTTTGTGTGATTATTAGAGATGCCATTACAGCATCAACAAATGGACCCATCCCAGATGTTTTTAAAATCGATTGTTTCAGATGCACGTAATTGATTCCCTCCATGAACTTCCCTTTCTTTTTCTGTTTGTACTGTTTCAGTTATACTTGGGGGCTTGGAAGCATGGGCCAACTTGGGCACACGTCCCTTCAATCTGGGGACAAAGAGTTGCTACCGAGACGAGTGGTTGCCCTTGATGGTGTTATCATGAAGCATGTCGCCTGTGGAGGAGTGCATACTTGTGCAGTTACTGATAAGGGAGCTCTATACGCTTGGGGTGGCAGTCAAGCTGGTCAACTAGGCTTGGGACCCCAAACTTCATCATTCTCATTCATTCCCAGTGACTCTGAATCCTTCCTCCGAAACATCCCTGCCGTGGTTGTTCCAAATGGTGTTGAACATGTAGCTTGTGGACATTCTCATACACTTGCTTCTTTGAACGATGGAAGGATACAGGGATGGGGTTACAATAGCTATGGCCAGGCATCGAATGAGAAGTCGACATATGCTTGGTATCCGTCGCCAGTTGATTGGTAGAGATCAAAACCCTTTGGTGGATAGCCGGTGTTAGTTTGTGTTTTAATTTTTACTGAATGTTGACTGAGCTCTCCAAACTTTGCAGGTGCGTAGGGGCAGTCCGGAAATTAGCTGCTGGGGGTGGTCACTCAGCTGTGCTGACCGATGCTTGTTCCTTGAAGGAACTCTGTGAGTTTAGACTTGCAGATGAGGTTAAGTTATCGAATGCATCACGGATTGAAGATGTTGCTTCCCGAACTGGGGCTGATGCTTTAGCTCGTCTCTGTGGACGATTGAGGTAAGGCTTCATCTGCTTTAAACTATTTGCTCGGTGTCCTCTTGTGATCGAATCCTTTTGCCACTTTGATATTCTGTAACGCTGTTAGATGTGAGATCTTTGCCAAAAACTTTTCTTTGTATCTGCAGACAGCATATGGTTGACATCGGAGATCAAAACTACGATGATGAAGATCAGTGAGCACTGAAACTCTCATTTAGAATTCGTCCTGATTTCTTGTGAATAGTCCTTCCCCTGTTCTGAATTAAGGGTGTCGATTGCGGCGTCAGCACCTGTAAGTATTGTAGCTCTGTGATTGTTGGAACAGGAAGCGGTCAACTAATACGTTGAGTCGAACTTCTGATTATTGTGTCCTCACAATATGCTGCTGTTCCATCTCGTATGTAGCTGTATGTACCAACACTTGGATGCCTACATAGTCAACCCATTTGTTGTGATTTAGCTTCAAATATTGTAGTGACTGTAAGTCTGTAACAGAACTTTTATGTATGCGGGAACTAAGTAGTGTAATCAATGTACAATCTTTCTGTGGTTTCGGATTTGTTCTACTGGTGATGATCTTACTGAATCAATTGACACATTGATGAATCTAACAACTAGTGGTTCGGCACTTCACGAAGTTGCATATCTCTATGTGACTCTTGTATAATGGACAGGTAAGAGCTTGTTGCACATCATCTTTGGAACCAATTCTATGCCTAGCTAAAAGCCATGGATTCTAGCAAGCGAGGAAACTTCATTATGGCCAACAGAAAGTGCACACCATTTTAAATTTAAGGACAAAATGTAATATATTAGTCAAATTGGATCTATAAAATATCATCCAGATCTTTAAAAATACAAAATATCAGTAAGATCTTTCATACCATTTAGGGTTTACGGTTAATTTATTTGCAAAAAAATTTCATTGTATTGCAAAAGTTCTCGTAGTATGGCAAATAGCATTAATTCATTTCTTGACCAAATACAATTTATTTGTCAACACTCAACTGTTAAATTCTGATTAACACTTTTGTTAGACGATGTCGAGTAAGCAAGCGTGATGTTGAGTTGGAGGAGTTCTTGTGACGTGACGGTTAAAAAGAAATCACCATGTCAATCAACCTTGTTGTCACTTTTTTTATTAATTTAATTTTTGAATAAAAAATCAATCAAGAATAAAAGTGCTATATATCCATAGCAAAACCACACTGACAGACCGACAAAATCTTCTTCTCCAACCTATTCAAAGTTCATCAAGCCGGCGAAACCAGTCTCAGTCAAAATTCCTTTGGACAGCAGACGACATCTCGTCCAACTGCACTTCCGACTCCAAGATGGTACAACTCCTTGTCAATGATTAGTTTTCATAGTTAGTAAATCTTAACACACTCTTTCATTATATCCAACTCGATTGTGCAACTCATGATGATATTAACTTCTATTCATATTGTTCTCAAGGTGTGAGCTTGCCTAGCAGCAGCACGCAACCCTCTGGGTCTGCAGGTTTTCCTTCGTTTCAGGTTGATGTGGGCTGTTTGCCATTTTTTGAGTGTTATGATGTTACTGGTTTCAGTAGGTAGGACACTTTGAACTCACATGTCCACTTCTTGTGGATAGTGAAGGTACTCTTCCTGTTTTCTTCTTGTTATTTTGTTTCTCCTTCAATAAAGTTCATCACCATTATAAAAAAAAAGATCTGTCATAACAACCGTCCGTCAAGGCACGTCCCAAAGAGGGAACCTCGTCCCCCTTATTTTGACAATAATAGATCAACAGCTCAAATTCTGTAATATTGTGAAAAATTCGGCAATTATATTTTGACAAATATTTTTATATATAAACTAGAAAACGGACCCGGTTCGTTGGCCGGATACATTTTATCAAATTCTGTAAAATAATAATGTAAGTAGTAAGATATTGGTATCATACGAATTTACATTATTTCAATACTAAAAATATTAAAAAGGAACCTACATCATTAGAGTTTTCTAAACATTTTGCATGATGCAGAGGAGCCATATATAGATAGAACCACACTTTGTTTAACTACTTTTCATTACAAATTGAAATTATTGCAAAATATCAGTTGTCTTCTTGTCACATTGAAATTTGATAATGATAATTATTGAAATATTGAGTTTAACATGTCAAACCACTGAGTTGAAAAATCTCAAACAACTATTAATCAATGCAATATAGGGGCACGTTGCAAATTATGTACATGTTGGAATAATTCCAAATCATTATAAATTAATTCCTCGACTACCTGATGATGAAATATACTATTGTGTGCGTTGGTCTACCTTCAAACATAGTTACATCACGAACCAAAGCAATTAAGCAAAAATCTCCATATTCCAAGTAGAACGACTCAATTCAAATTGGCCAGCGCTTTAAACATATTTGTTACCCCTGGACCTATTGCACTTGTTGCCTTCAAATCTTTGTGAACACAATACAATTGAGGAGAGGAGGTTGTCAATGGAGTGGAGTGTGTTAATTACGTGAATCACCATACAGCTGAACAAACGTGGTCTTCTTGATTAGCTATCATAATAGAGGGGCTAGCTGCAATTGATCGGTTGCTCCCTCTGCGCATTCTAGTTAGAATCTCTGGCCTAGGTTGTAGATATTAGGGTTCAGTGAGAACTTTGGGTGCAAGAGGAGAGTTGGTTTGTGGGGGAGAGATGACCCGGCAAGTAGAATGAGAAGCTTTGACGAGGCTGCAATGGGTGCACGATTAGTGGGCCAAATCACAGTTTGGACTGTAATTTTACGGTTATCATATATTTATAAGATAGATAGAAATTTAAATTAAGTATTAAAATACAACTAAAATAATCAAATTATTGAAATCGAAGTAACAACACACTAAATAAGTACTTACGGAAAATTTAGCGATCAACTAATCGTTGAAAATTTTGGTGACCTATTCTTTCATTGGTTCCATTATTGCACACGTAGTCCCAAGTACTTTGTCGAGCTTGTTTATTGTGACTAACGTCCTCACCATCAACACTCAGTTCAGGATACTTTTGAAGTTTACAGCCGACGAGATGGGCCATGGAATTCATACTCTGTTCACAGCAGGAGTCAAGTTGTCATTGTGGCTAGTCAAGGTCATGTAGAGAGGAGCATCTTCACCAACATCACAGTCATGGCATTGAAGGCAATTGTGATCGGCAATGGTCATCTCTTCAAATAGCTAGTGTTGGGAAGAAAAAAAAGCTTCTGTCAACAAAATTTTCAAGTCATCAGGTCAGGGCATTCACGATCCATCAAATGGTCGTCCCCTGGCGTGCAAAAGATAGTACGATCAAAGAAGTAATCGTCCCTTCATCGTCCAGCAGGCATTCACGATCTAAGAAATGGTCGTCCCCTCTTCTAGTTCATTATTGGGCACATATCAACCATTCATTGCTTTTCAAGCCGGGCATTCACGTTGTTCATGCTCCAGCTTGAGGGGGAGAATAGGAGGTCAACATACGCCGGTCGCCTAACTCAGTCATCAGGTCGACCACGATGTACCAAGTGTGTTCAAGTTCAAGAGACGCAGTCAACCGTATCCATCATCAGGTTGTTCAAAGAGATTCAGTCGTCTCCAATCAACCTTGTTCGAGATGTTATTCATCTCGAGTTTTGTGGTTCTAGCCATCATGCTTGTTCTTACATTTACTTCCTCAAGCTCGACATTCTTGTCATTCCTGTCTTCGCTTGAGGGGGAGTGTTGCGGTTAATAAACCATGTCAGTCGTGGGCCTCGTTGGGCCTTATCCGAGTTGTAGTAGGTACGGATTATTGGCCGTACTCGACTTTTCTCGTTAGGGTTTTAAACCTACATCTATCTCTATATAAGCTTAACTACGAGATTGTCGTAAGCAAGCCGTCACAATGTAGCCGGTCAATAAAACGCCAGCTGTGAGCTCTTCCGAGCTCACCGTGGATTAATCTCGATCAATCAATCGATCGAGGATACCACGTAAAACCCTTGTGTTCTATGTTCGTTTCAATTGCATCATCAAACGAAAGCCAACTCATGGGCTTGAAGTTTGCACATGCCCACTATACCTTGTGCATTTAATCAATGGTTAATATTGGGGGTCGTGTAGATTCGAACACATGACCACTTGGCCAAACCAGCTCTGATACCATGTCATAAACCAGTTGGTCCCAATAACTCGAGTTATTGGGAGCAACTGGTTCTTGACATGTTATCAGAGATGGTTGTCCGTGAGGTCACGTGTTCAAGTCCTCACGACCCCCAATATTAACAGTTGTCTTTCAAGCACATGGTATGGCGGGCCTGTGCAAACTTCAAGCCCATGAGTCGGCTTTCGTTTGAGGGGGCGTGTAAGGAAGTGGTTAAACACCATACACGGGCATGTATAAGATTCAGCATAACCTTCTCCCAACAACTCGAGTTATCGGGACAAACTGGTTTATGACAAAGATGACGCCTGAACTTCGGGGACAAAGTTTTTCAAAGGGGGGAGGTTTGGTGCATTATAACTTCCTTGGGCCCCGTGGCCGAATTGGGCTTAGTCATTAGGGATATATTGTTAGTTAATTATTGAGTTATTTAGTTATTTAGAGATATTCATATTAGTTTATTGTGACTTGTTGAGGAAATTATTAGGTTACCCTGTTAGGGTGGGATAGGGTTAGCTATTAGGTTTTCTTGGATCTGACATCTCCTCGTCGACAGTTGGAATATAGAGAGTCGGCGAGACCAGACGGCCATCTTCCTGGATTCCCCGTGACGTTCCAACGCCATCTGTACACTCCCTCATCACACAATAGGGGCGAGCTTCCCCGGCTTCTCCCGACGTTCCGACGCTAGCGCTTCCCCGTCGATCCATCTACTCGGCTGCCGCATCTATAGTTCTATACCCGGCTTCTTTCGTCGACACCAGCTTCCCCGTCGTTCTGACTCCATCCGTGTCTTGCTTAGTAAGTAAGGTACACTCTGCTTTTGATGTTCATACGTTATTTCTTTTCCGATAATGCTCATCTATTAGGAATGGGACAGAAAACTCTTGTAGCATTGGTGTATTCCTAACCGCATCCATTTTGCCTCCATAGCCATTTGCTTGGTCTTTCTTGGCTATGTGATATTAGTACGACTAATGCTATAATGATCAGCTTACAACCTCATTGTTCTTGTTTTCTTCCATATTTATGCAAATCCAATTTTGCGTAAGTGAACGAACAGCCCATCTTTGGAGAAACCATCTGATAATAGAATTCCACAAGTAGGGGGTGTCAGTTCGGGTTGGGTTCGGTTACTCAAACCGAAACCCGAAAAAACCCGAAAAACCGAAACTGAAAATCACTAAAACTGAAACCCGAACGCCTAAAAATATGGGTTGAGTTTTATTCATTGGAGTTTTTTAGTCGGAACCCAAAAAATCGATAAGCAAAACCGAACCCGAAACAGAAAAACCCGAAACAAACCCGAACCCAAAAAACCAAAAATGTATATAATCAGGTCGGTTTCGGGTAAACCCGAAAAACCGAAGCCGAATGTACAGCCCTATGACCACAAGTTGTCCCATTAC